TGGCTCTCAACCTCATCACATTCATGTATCCAGACAGCCCATATTTACACCTATCTATAGAAACTCTCATGCACAGGAATCAACATCCCGCACGATAAAACTGCAGCATTCAGGAAATCGAGTCAGGAGGGCCTAACCGGGGATCAACTCAAGGCAGACCCAGGGGGATTTGCGTCATCTCTATGATCTGTTAGGTCCAAAGACGGTAGTACTGACAGAAAGGGCCCCAAATTTTTTCAAAGGATCCATATTTCCCTTTTACACTATGCGATATCTTCTCAGGTGTGCAGTAGGATGCTAGCTCATTAATCCAGTGTCTCAGTGTTGGAGAATTTTCAGATTTCCAATGTAGCAGAATACATTTTTTCACTGCAGTACTCGCAAGTAAAATAAAATAATCATCTTTTCTGTCTTGAAACCAGAGCAGTAGCAACTAAAGTTGAAAAAACGCATCAGGAAAGTATTTACAGGGGTCATAAGGCAAGGGATCGAAGAGCCATTTTCCACTTACAAGAGTTGCTGCTTGGCCACTAGCTAAGTCATATATGAGTGTTGTGGTGGTACAGAGTGAGTGGCTGGGAGAGGTTAGGAAATGTACAGGCCTGTGCAGAGTCTATTGGACTACTAATGGCACTTAAAGGTAGGGATAGTAGAGGCAAACAAAGCAAAATGCCCCATTTCAACATGTGTCAACTGAAGAACATGAACTGGGCACCACTGTGGGGTTGTTATGGTCCCCAGCACATGTAGAAATAAGGACCAACTCCATAGAATGAGTTATGAATGACAAATGAAGGGCAGCAATATGCAATTAGCTGCACACATCTAGACAAGTTTCAAAAGAAGATACAATAATGAACACTTTAGAGATAGTGATATAACTTGGCGCATTCTTCGTTATTTTTATATTTTAGATTACTAGACACTATTTTTAAGATGGAAGAAACTTTTTCAGGATTAAATGTTTTCATTTTGTTTGTTGTTTTTTCTGGTAAAGCTCTAAAAAAAAAGAAGAAAAGAAAAAAGGAAGCTGTGTAGTAGTTCTTACAAGCCAAACAATACCGAAGACAAACCCTGCTGCTAATGAGGTGAGTTCGATTTCCATGGCTCCGCGCAGAGGCACTCCCACGAGGCGGTGCACTGTTCAGACCAGCATCATGCGTTCATCTGCACACAGACGCTGCTGTGAACTTAACTCGACTGTTGCTTATGTTGCCAGAAGGGATCTCGCTCTCCATCCATGGTTGTCCTCAGGATAAGAAATGTGCACAAAAGGAAATATGCACTCATCTGCCTGTGCATTGCTGGATTCATCATGTACAGATATCTTGGGTAAGTTCTTAAAATGTTACGTTGTTGTTTTCCCC